TGCTGAATTCTACCAAACTTCTTTTTACAATAAAATATGTTTATTGAAAAAATTATTCTGCTCACAAGTATTGGATGGATTAGAATTAAAGTATAAATGATAACTATAAATGTACACAAATGAGATGTGAAAAAACCATTGACTCTAAAATTGGAGGTACTTGCTAGATAGTTGTTTTGAAAGAAGATACTTCAACTTTCTACACAATTGATTTATCATTTATAATTTTGTGTTGAAAATTAGTTTATAATTCTGCAAATATCTTTTATTTCTCCTACTGGACTACAAGGCTAGGATGGGTATCATATTTTTAAACCCTGAATTCTTTATAATATGTACTCTAGTAATTTATAAATGCTGGACATTGAAAAATACTGTTACATTTATACAAAATTTAGTGTTTTTAACTGAGTAGATTGAAGAAGAACTAAATCCAATACTTCTCAAATTATTCAAAACAAATTAAAGAGAAGGAATTCTCCTAAACTCCTTCTATAAGGTCAGCATCAATTTAATTACAAAATCTGAAAAAGGTACAACAAGAAAGACAATTGTAAACCAATATCCCTGATGAACATAGATACAAAAGTCTTCAACAAAATACTAGCCAATCAAATCCAACAACAAATCAGAAAGATCATTTATCTGGAATAAGTGAGTTTATCACTGGTATGCAAGGGGTGGTTCCACATTTCAAATCAATAAATCTGATTCATGACATTAACACATCAAAGAATAAAACCATGTAATTACCTCAATAGATTCAAAGAAAAAAAGGATGTTGAGAAAATACAACATCTTTTAATAATGTAAACCTTAAGCAAATTGGCTATAGAAGGATATATAAGAAACATACCTCAACACAATCAAGGCAACATATAACAAACAGCTAATATTATATTGAATGGAGAGAGGCTGGAAGCATTTCCATTAAGATGAAGACCAGGCAAGGATGCCAACTCTCACCATTACTGTTCAATATAGTTCTGGAAGTTTTAGCCAGAGCCATTAAACAAGAAAAAGAAATCAAATGGATACAAATTGGAAAGGAGGAAGTCAAATTATCCCTGCTTGTAAGATGATATGATCCTATACATAAGGTAACTAAATGACTGCACTAAGAGATTATTGGAACTCATAAGGTTTTGGCAAAGTTGCAGGGTATAAAGTCAACATATAAAAGTTAATAGCCCTTGTATACACAAATAATACCATAAGCTGAGAAAGAACTTGTAAGATCAGTTGCATTAACAATAGCTAAAAAAATAAAAATATCTTGGTATAAAGTTAATTAAGGCTTTGAAAGATCTCTAGAATGAAAATTATAAAGCATAAAGGAAGAAATAGAATAAGACTCAAAAAATGGAAAAATCTTTCACGTTAATGGATTAGAAGAATTAATATCATCAAAGTGTCCATATTATGCAAAGCAACTAAGAGATTCAATGCCTTCCTAATTAAAATGGCAAAGACATTCTCTGATCCAGATAAATAACCCTAAGATTAATGTAGACTCGCAAAAGACCCTGAATAGCTAAAGCAATTCTAAAGAATAAAAATAAACTTGGAGTCACCTCAAGCCCTTCAAGAAATACTGCAAGGTAGTTATAATCAAAACAGCCTGGTACTGGCACAGGAATAGACATGTTGATCAATGGAACATACTATAGACCCAGAAATTAATCCATGCAGCTACAACTAACTAATCATCAACAAACAAACTAAAATCATTCTCTGTAAAAAGGATGGTCTCTTCAACAAATGGTTTTGGGAAAATTGGATCTCTGCATGCAGAAGTATGAAACAAGACTCCTACCTTACATTCTATAAAAAAGTCAACTCACAGAGGATAATGGATCTAAATCTAAGACCTAAAACTGTCAAATTACTAGAGGAAAACATAGGGGAAAGATTGTAAGAAATTTGCCTATGCAAAGACTTCTTGAATAAGATCCCAGAAGCACAGACAATAAAGACAAAAATAAACAAACGAGATTATATCGAGCTAAGAAGCTACTGCACAGCAAGGAAAAAACACTCAACAAAGTGAAGAGCCAACTGAATATGAAAAAATGTTTTTAATATATATATATATGTTAAAGGATTAAAATCCAGGATATATAAGTAGCTCAAAAAACTCAACAATGAAACAAGTAATCCAGTTAAGAAATGGGCTAAGGATATGAATAGGCAATTTTCAAAACATGAAACAAAATGGCCAACAGACACATGAAAAAACTCTTAGTATCACTAGCCTTCAGGGAAATGCAAATAAAAACCACAATGAAGTTTCACCTCACCTAAGTTATAATGGTTATAATCCAAAAATCAAAAAATAATAAATGCTGGTGAGGATGGGGGGAAATGTACTCTAGTACACTATTGGTGGGAATGTAAACTAGTATAACCATTATGGAAGACAGTATGGAGATTCCTCAGAAATCTGAAAACAGATCTAACATATGACCTAGTCATCCTATCTTGAGAAATTTACCCAAAGAAAATGAAATCAGCATATGAAAATTTAACACCCATGTTTATAGAAGCTCAACCCACAATAGCTAAGATATGGAATCAGGCCAGAAGTCCATCAACAGATGACTGCATAAAGAAAATGTGGTGTAAATATACATAATGGAATACTACTCAGCCATAAAAAAGAATAAAATCATGTCTTTTGCAACAAAATGGGTGTAACTGGAGACCCTTATGCTTAGTGATATGAGCTGGTCTCTAAAAAGACAAATTTTATATGTTCTCTTTTATTCACGCTAGCTATTTTTTTTTCTACTTACTACTTGTTGAATTATTTATTTAGTGGAGAGTTAAGCTTGTGATTATAAAGTAAATTTAAAGTATGTCAATGTAAACATAAAAAGAAAAATAACAAAAGAAGGAAGAAAGAGGGTGGGAGTATATGAGGGAGGGATGGTAGGATGGGAAGTAATATGCTCTTAAAACTGTAGGGCTGGCGCCGTGGCTCAATAGGCTAATCCTCTGCCTGTGGCACCACTACACCGGGTTCTAGTCCCAGTTGGGGCACCGGATTCTGTCCCGGTTGCTCCTCTTCCAGGCCAGCTCTCTGCTGTGGTCCGGGAGTGCAGTGGAGGATGGCCCAAGTGCTTGGGTCCTGCACCCGCATGGGAGACCAGGAGGAAGTACCTGGCTCCTGGCTTCGGATCAGCGCCATTGTTGGGTGAACTAACGGAAAAGGAAGACCTTTCTCTCTGTCTCTCTCTCTCTCACTATCCACTCTGCCTGTCAAAAAAAAAAAAACAAAACAAAACAAACAAACCTGTAGTTATGAAATACATGAAATTTGTTCACCTTATATAAATAAAAAAGTAAAAAAAAATCAGACGTACATAAGACTATTTACGAGGTACTGTTGCCCTAATATAAGTACTGAGGCCATCTGGAAAGGTGCTTTGCAACAACTCTGAGGGCATTGAAATCAGAGAAAACTTGGCACTGTCTTGCAGCAGGCAGGGGAGGCCCTGAAATTTATCTGTACTTAGCAGACTGGCTACGGGGTCAACACGGATTGTGGCTGAAGAGACATCTTCACAACAGAAACTACGTTGGACTACCCAGCCTAGTTCTGTTGAGGACAGGCAGAGAAAGATGCACACATCTAGGGCCAGTGGGAGCTGAGTGCAAAGCATGAAAATGGAATGGCCTGTGCTCCCAGGGAGGTCTGCCTGAGCTCAAAGAACTGAACCATGGGTTCAAAATTGTTGTTCTAACACAGGAGGCAACTTCAGTTGCAGACTGATTTGTACTTGGTAACAGAATGGCAGCACACTTCTGAACACCAACCTGAGGCCATAAAGACATAAGGCATGCTTTTTTTCATATACCCAAATTCCATCTTAGGAAGAGAAGCAGAGAATGGAAAGAGAATACATGAAGACTGAGAATCTATTAGGCAAAGAAGAACATAACCTAAAGGGACTGTGTACTTCTTAAAGCAGATTTAATCTCAGAAGAACAAAAGTCGGATTTATCTTTAATAAATAGTGGATAGAGGCTGGGATAAGGACCTGATTGGCTGTAGTCAAAGTAAAACAAGTGAATTTTCTTTGTGCATTCAAAACAGAGTGTGAGTTAAACCCTGTCCCTACTTTCCCCTGGCATTTTCTGAGAGCCTCTGTTTACTGGTACTTGTATTATTTCCTTTAATTCTCACATTAGTCCTATAAAGAAGGAGCCATTAGAATCCCCAGTTTCCAGATCAGGAAATAACGTCACACAGTTATCAAGAGAGTGAGGACAAAAAAAACCTGATTACTTATTTAAATATCTGAATTTAAAACTAGTTAATATATATTTAGACAAATCGAATTTTTGAAATTTAAAGACATTCCAGTAGAAGGCTTCTGAAGACATAAATCTGAGTCTTCTTATTAAAGAGTACTTGCTCTCTAATTTGCATTTTAGATTTTGGCCTCCATGTAAATTTCAAGAAAACTGAATTTTAAAGGAGCAAGCATAATTCTGCCAATCTTGCTGGAGTAACATTTGTGTTCACTAGAAAGACAGTCAGGTACAATTAGTGGCTCATTTCTCTCATGCTATGCTATCCTGCAGCCTTGTAGGTTGAAGTCTTCAAGGTACTTAGGAGTTAATTCTTAGTTTAATCTCTATTTGGCCATGTATGTCTGCACATATTTTTAGCTAATTTTCATAGTTAAAACAACAACATATCAAATTATAATTAAATAAGACAACACACATAACACACTTAATGTGATGCCTGCCATTTAGTTGGTGTTCAACCCTCCCAATGGCATTTGCCTCAATCCATTTTTTTAATGAATCCCAATATTATCCAGTTCTCTGTGGCTACAAGTTAATACACTACTTTAAATCCTAGAATTTTATTTTTTATATTTAGCAAATGAAAACACAGTCAGAGAATTCATACCTGGGGTTGTAAAAATAGCAAAAGAAACTCTCCTGGAATGTACTTATCAAATTTAGAAAATACATTTGCTTACCAGCTCACTGAATTCATTATTGCCTAGGTCAAGTCTTTCCAACTGGGCCAGTTTGTGCATTGACCTGCAACAGATGGAGAAAAATGTTATTGTGAGGCAGTGGATGACACATTACTCTGAAAGACATTCCACCCAATTACAGCCCCCATCAGATTTCCTTGATTGTACAGTGCACAGAATAGGAGGTATTCTTCAGAAAGAAGTAAATTTAAAATACACAGAAATGTAGGAAAACTGCCATCTGAAAACATTAATATCCTATTCCATCTTCAGAATTGATACCCAAATGCCAGTGTATGGTTAGAGTAGAGGCCTGTCCACTTAACAGGAATTTAATACCTGAGAATTTGTTAAATAACTACAACAGTAGAATGGAGTCCCACTATCTATATTTTTAAGAATTACCACAGTTTTGAGAACCAATGAACCAAGCAAATTTTGCAGCAAAGCAATGTAAATCCCCATGCCATGGCACACTTTCATCATTTATCAAGTGAATTTCTACTCCCCTAAATGCTTCTCTGTTACAGATAGATTGTTGTGTTCATTATCTATCTCCCAAACATATCAGCTTGAATGATGCTGTAACTCTGAATAATTGAAAAACTTTGGGCAAAGCTGGTGTCAGTGGTTGGGGTACTCCAGCACATCCCATACACAGTCAGCATTTCTCAAAGCACTCTTAAATAAACATATAAGACAAAACTAACACTTTTCTGGAAGGTGTTGTTATCTATCTAGTAACCAGAATGCTATCCTTAGGTTCTGCATGGTCAGAGAGAGAGATATTCTTGAATAATCATCCATTCAAATACTGGATTTTTTTCAGTTTTAAAATGTAAAAATAATCTCGTAGGATTTAATGAATAATAAACATCATAGGTATAGTTTAGACAGTGTTAGGTACTCAGCAATAAATACAACAGGTGAACACAGTGTCCAAAATGTCTTTACATTGGGTAGTGGTTGGTGGTGGTAGTGTGGGAGATGGCAGTAAGTGAAGTAATTGTGTAAAATAAGAAGGTTATAAATGCTATGGAAAAAAGTTCAGCAGATGAGGGAAGGAGATAAAATCCCTAGAGGAATTAAATTTTAGTAGCACGATCAGGTAAGGTTCAATGAGAATTGACCACTTGATGTAACAACAAGGTGGTTTTGAGATCAGTTTTCTAAGCTTTAAACCACTGATAATGCTCTTTCTTCCATTCAATATTCCTTTACTCTTGCATTTTTCAATATTACTTATAAAGTTACATCAATATTTGGATTTCTTATTTTCCCAAGATTTAGCATCATAAGAATAAAAAATTATTCTCATTGTTATGCAACTTATAATCTTGAGGGAAATAACTGAGAGAAAGGACAATTTCTACTCAACAGGGTAAATGCCACAGAAAATATTATGTGTAAAGAAGTTGCTAGAGAACACAGGGGAGAGGGACATTTTTAGCTCTGAAGCTTAGGAATAGAAAATAGAGGGCTTTATTGAGGTTTATATTTGCAATAATTCATGGGACTGCAGTTGGGGAAATGGCCATTTGAGGAGGAAATGTCACAGAAGTGGGTTAAAAGAGACCATGGACTATTCAAGGAATTACAAGTTAGTAAAACTGATAAGAAACAAGAAATAGCAAGGAATAATAAAAATAGTGAGAAATGAGAAATCATATGCAAACAAAGGTCAGGTCATGAGATCTTCTTATATGTCAGACCAAGGAATTTGAGTTTTGGCTTGGGTCCAATGTTAGCATTTAAGATTCAGGTAGAGGTATCAGATTTGTATTTTAGAAAGCACACTTTGGCAATGAGGTCAGATCAAAGACTGTTCTTAAAACCACATAGGATATAATCACAGCCAGAAATAAAATAAAAGCAATATGGATAACATGGTGGTATAGATATGAGATACTTTGGAGAAACACATGACTTGGTTCATGATGATGATTGATACAATGTGGGACAAAAAGCTGCAGGAGAAGTAGTAGTTTATGGATTGAGTAGCAGAGAGAATATTGGAATGGAATAAATCTAAGGCAGAAATAGGTTGGATGTAATGAATTATGGACTTTGAGAGAAGGATGAGACAATTATATTACAAAAATGTGTGCACATAGATATGTACCTAGGTTTGGAATGCAGGTAAAAGAAAGCTTTGAATGTAAATATATATTTGAAAGTTTAAAAAAATGGCAGGCCGGCGCCGCAGCTCACTAGACTAATCCTCCGCCTAGCGGCGCCGGCACACCAGGTTCTAGTCCTGGTCGGGGCACGGGATTCTGTCCCGCTTGCCCCTCTTCCAGGCCAGCTCTCTGCTGTGGCCAGGGAGTGCAGTGGAGGATGGCCCAAGTGCTTGGGCCCTGCACCCCATGGGAGACCAGGATAAGTACCTGGCTCCTGCCATCGGATCAGCGTGGTGTGCTGGCCGCAGCACGCCAGCCGCGGCGGCCATTGGAAGGTGAACCAACGGTAAAAGGAAGACCTTTCTCTCTGTCTCTCTCTCTCACTGTCCACTCTGCCTGTCCAAAAAAAAAAAAAAAAAAAAAAAAAAAAGGCATTTATCTGTTCTGCCTGAAAATGATATTTCCTTTTAAACTCAGATACCAATATCTTTCTTTTCTATGATTTAAATAGATTTTACCACATTTTTAAAAAAAATTGTTATTTTTATCAAATGAATTTGCATGATTTCTACAATTAGGTTTTAATATGCCCAGAAGGACTTAGTGGGATGATTGGCATTTCAAAGATGGTTGGGAAATGTTGTCAGTCTTCAGGCTTCTAAGGAGGACTTCTGTTTTACTCCTAACCAAATCCATACCACTGAATAGGAGCTTCTACGGACAGTGCAGAGGGAAAGTAGCTGGTCGCTATGAACAGAAAATTACATTTTCTCCTGAGCCCAGGAATTTTGAGGAGTGACAGCATCTCCCAAACCTTGATTTGGGAACACAAACCTTGATTTGGACAAACACAAAGGTGAAGGATCAAGTGGCCATGAATGTCAAGAGAGTCACAATTGATCACAGGAAAGGGGTCACTTGCAGCTGATTTGATCATGTTGTCTTAGGCAACAGACACTAGTGAGAATCACAATTAGGTGAAGATCAGAAGTTCTTTTGCATTTCTGGGGTTATATGAACTCCATACATAGTTCTCACTGATGCCCAAGGAGCACATAATATGAAACTGAGGATAGATTTTTTTTCTTTCTTTTTGGCCAACCTCTGTGATTGAAAAGCAAGACAAAATCACCTTTATTAAATGAAGAACTGGGTGCCCTAAGGCATTATAGGGTTTATCTTTTTTTAGACTAAATATTACTGATCACTTAAATAATTCCTTGTATGATATGATGTCTAGACCTGCAAACACACCAATTGTTCTAATTTAGACCACCTAAAATTTGTCAATATTTAGTTTCTAAAACAGAGCCAGTTCCGAATCCAGCATACCTGTTTTTGTAAATAAAGCTTTATTGGAATGGTGTCATGACCATTTGTTAACACTATGTATGGCAGTTTCTGCACCACATTCACAGAACTGGGTGGCTGAAACTGACACCGTATGGACTGTAGAGCTGAGACTTCTGTCACTGAGTGAAGGGTAGCACTATTCTCTAGATGTGGTCTAACCAAGACAATGTATCAAGAAACTAATATTTCCCATGCTTCTGTTTTTCAAATTCATGACATAGCTTCCTAATATTCCTTTGAGTGGATAACACTTAAAACTTTGCTTATTCTGGGTCAAAAAGAGAAAACTTTTCCAAAGGGGTTTTCTCAACTCTCTCCTCACACACACTTCAGTTATTTTAATTAAACTATTATTCAATTTTAATTTTATCTCAATTTCTATGATCCTAGTTTCCACAAATTTGTAATTATTACTAGTTTTACTGCTTCATTATATTCTTCATTTTTGAAGTTGTCTACAACATGTCTATTTTTTCATTTTTAAAATTTTATTTCAGTTATACAAGTTTCATATATTTCATATATATACATTTAGGAAAATAGTGATAATTCCCATCCTACCCTCCCTCTCTAGTCTATTGCTTTTCTTGTTAATGTGAAAGTTACTAAATGCAAATTATTCTAATTGCCCAAAAAAAAGTGTTTCTTTCACATGAATGTATGTGTAAAAGTTTTACATTGTAGGAGGATACAAACAAGTAAGATTTATCACAAGCATGAAGTGGAACTCACAGTATTTTCATGTAGGTAGTGTTCTTTGTGAGACTTGTTCATCCATTTAAATAGTTTCTGCTTCTTTGCGATGGGCTCCATGAGGATACTAGGTCTACAAAGATTTCTGAGATGCAAAGTTTCTCAACCTTGGCACTGTTGACATTTTAATATGGTTAATTATGTGTTATAGGGAGCTATTGTGTACATTATAGGATATTTAGCACATTCTATACAGACTCCACTCCAAAGGGCTTCTTTGTTAAATGAGAATGACCTTTACATGAATAATTACTTCAAAGGGTGATAAGTGCTGTAAGAAAGATATGTATAGATTGCCCTAAAAGGCAAAGAAGGAACAAAGAACAGTTCAGGTAATTATGGAAAATTTCAAGATGAGGTAAATTTTGTTGAAGTTTGTTATATGAACCACATATATTTGCAAATGTGGAAAAAATAATGAAGATACTGAAAGAGTCCATCTGAAATTGAGGTATACTCAACTGATTAATCTGAGATTATAGTGTAAGATAACAATATATATTTAATATATGTGTTATATTAATGTGTATTTTCAATGGATCTAATAATTTTGGATCAAATGAATAAACTTTAATTCCCCTAAGAGTTTGTGGCAGGTAATTATATTTTCTTACTCTCGTGATTAGAAAAGGGAACGTCAGGCCGGCGCCACCATAGCTCAATAGGCGAATCCTCCGCCTGCGGCTCCGGCACACTGGGTTCTAGTCCCGGTCAGGGCGCCGGATTCTGTCCCGGTTGCTCCTCTTCCAGTCCAGCTCTCTGCTGTGGCCTGGGAAGGAAGTGGAGGATGGCCCAAGTGCTTGGGCCCTGCACCCGCATGGGAGACCAGGAGAAGCAC